CACGGCATCTCAAATCTGAGAATAGGCTCTCTCAGCTGTAGCTGGCTGCGGTTTGGCATCCAAATTGCAGGGTTTCTGAGCCCTTCTGGTGACCAAAATTAACCCGAGAAATGAATTATGCATACAAATATTCACATCTCTGTGCTGTCTTACATGTACCTGTCCATGTTGGGCTAAGTGTTGCGCACCAGTTCGGCGTCCAAGGCCAGAAGTCATTGTGCACAAGCCTGTCACTTCAAGAGCGAGTGTGCAGGAGGAATTCCCTTGCTGCTCTTGCTGGCGACCGATTAACTCTACATTGCATAGCCTCTATAATCTGGTGTTCACTCAGGAACACACAAAAACACGACACACACACAAACATATACAATACACATACACCTTGGCCTTTGTGTTTACCACTGCACAAGCACACGTGCACGTATGTGGACATATATATGCGTTTGCATAGACTTGTATATATCACAGGCTTGCAGGCTACACAATTTGTGTGCACCAGCATGCGCCTCCTGGATGAACCAACGTCTCGGATGTACAGCTCATCTTCTCCGCTCATCTCTCACTGCGTTTTCATCATCAAGATAAGCGTCCAGACAACCGAGGAGCCTTTCCACCGTCTGGAGAGCAGTAACCGGGCTAGTTGTTGGAGGAACCCGTTCTTGCAGGTCGAAGATGTTATCACTTCTGCATGCCTTCTTTACCCTCTCTTCTGCCTTGGATCTTTACCCACCCTTTGTTCCTCTGTTTTCTGCCTTCTGCTCTCCTCCTCTCGCTCAACACAACTTTTCTCATTTGTTTTGCTGTATGACTGGCCTCCCACCTAAATAGTCCCCCCAAACTAGACCAATACAGCGGCAATAAATCAAATGACGTGCTTGGTTTTGCTACATGTGTGGCGGAAGGGTGCAGACCGATTGTAAGAGTAGACATGTGCTGGCGGTAAGACAAGTAATGGGATAAGTATCTGTAGAACTAGGAGAACTGAGAGGGGACTTATGGGCGAAAGATAATAATACAAAAAGGGGATAAATGCAGGAGGAAAGTTGCTATTCCGTCGGAAGAGGATCGTTGGACACTTGTATCTTGGTAACAGGGCCTAAAGACGTACCAATTAGAGACCACTAGTGTAGTCTCTCGAGAAATTAACCATTTTACACCTTCGAGAAGATCAGTTAAGAGTTATAATCATCATGCATTCTGCGAAAGATCAAAATGATGATGAAAATCCACTTATTGCCATCAGATTATCTTTTTGGGGTGGT